TAAAACGGTCACCAGGCAATATTATCGTTTATCGCAATAAATTTTGAGACAATTAATCGCCCAGCAAAATTTGTTATCGTGACAGGCCTAATTGGAAGTAAGATTTAGAAAATTGCACAGAGAAGCGCCAAAATGGCTAGGGACATATCCCATGAACCTCTGCACCAATAACATGTAAAAACCAACTGACTGCATTAATGTTACAATGTGTTGAGTTGGAAAATAAAAAAAAGCAGCTTGTGGTTTATCTAAGGTTGTACCTGGTCTGTTGTCTGTGGGTGGTGACAGCAGGTCCCTCATCTGTGCATCTTTGAGTCCCTCCACCCACTGCACATCCAGGGTGCGCAGCAGAGGGCAGCTGGAGGTGCAGAGAGCAGAGACAGCAGCCCAGGAACATCCTGACAGCTTCAGTACTCGCAGACCTGAGAGTTACAGCAGTGTTGTGACATACTGACTCCTCACATTTCAACAAATTCAATGTTTCAAGTCTCTTATAATCAAATACCTGGTAGCCTATTAATAAGCCAGCTGAGTTGTTTTTTGGAAATGTTGGTCCAGCTGAGGTCCAAGCAGACGGGCTGCCTGCGGATAATCCCACTTAGCATGAGTGGGGTGATGGAGGTGCAGCGATTCAGATCGATCTTTGTCCAGAGTCTCTTATCACAACACCTGGTCAGAGGGAAAGACGTGTGTGATGCCTCATGTCAAAGCAGAGCACTTAACAAGCACCAAACCCTCATTAGCAATTCAAGCAATGTCTGCTGAGCAGAAATATGTGAAGGTGGTGTTTTCTGGCTGCATGCTGTGCCACGTACCATCTGTTCCACGTCTTACAGACTCTCATGCAGACACACAGCTCTGGGTGTGAGAGGTAACTGAATATCTTCATCCAGACCTCGCGCTGTAAAACGTGCGCTTTGCCATCTTTGAGGGGCAGTCTGTCGGGAGGGGGGCTTATGGGAGGGGGCCGAATGACGTGCCGCTCCATTTGCACGCACTTGGGAGGGGAGCGTGGGGGCACGGGCCGAGTGGTGGGGGCGCTCCGGTTGAAGCCCAGCGGAGTGATGGGACTCTGGTAAAAGTGGCGCAGCTCCCAGTTAGTCCCGTTCATCTCTTTGGCCTTCAGGTGAGTCCTCTGATCGCCCAGTTCGTTACCGTTGCGGAACAGCCTCCTCGGTTCCTCGTTCTCCGTTTCCGGTTCGGCCTTGAGGGGCTGCCGGTTCTCTATAGCCAGGCAGTCCTCGGTCTTTTGGATTTCCTGGTTCAGTGCTTTGCTCAGTTCTCGACTCAGCTCTCTGTTGTTGGGTAAGTGGCGCTTACGGCGAGCTTTGGGACGGGGCCCCCTCTCCTGCGTCTCACTGCCCCCCTCACTGCTGGGGCCGGCCTGCGGGGAGCTGCAGTAAGACTGGTCGCTGTCCCCGACCGGCGTCCTAATGGAAGGATTCAAAGGGTCGTTCTTGAAGTCCTCTTCAGTGTCTCTTCTGTCCACACTGCTCCGGAAGTGAAGCTCCTTTTCGTCTTCGTCGTCTTCCCCGTACACATCCTCATCCTCCCTTTCTGTTTTAATCTGAGATGCAAGTTTGGAAAAATAAGAGTCATCCATCTTTTCCTGTGGAGCAGAACAGAAAACGCCCTTACGTTACTTTCATTCACATACGAACCGTTTCATTTATAGCCTCAATAAAAGTCACTATGCAAACCTTTTTCCTCATAGAAAGATCCTCCTCATCCTCATCGTCAAACAGCTTCCTCTTCTTCCTCAGCTTGTCCTCAGGTCTGGGCCGTGGCTGGCCACTGGGGGACAGCAGCGGCGGCTGACGGTGGAGAGCCTCCTCGGCCCTGAACCTGGGGGTCTCCTCTCTGTCCGGCCTCCTCTTCGTCACGGCAGAGATGTCCCCCTCCTCCTTCACCGGCTTCTGTTCCCTCAGCAAAGAGCCAGGGAGGTTGGAGGCGTATTTGAACCCGGGACCCCTTTTTTGCTTCAATACCAAGGGGGACAATAATTGCAAAACAACTTTATACCTTCAGCCTATTGTGACGAGAGAGAAAAAAAATCTACTGCATTTGTACTAAACTAAAACATTACACTATCATGAGTTTCCTGCTGCTGAGCCTGACCCAGTGGTGTGTGCAAACAACAAGCATAAACAGGAAGTGGCAAGCTGATCATCACGTCTAAAACTGAAAATAATCAACTGAAAGCAACAGTGATATCACAGGGTTCCTACAGAATGAATGAATTTATTTATGAGGACAGTGTGCAATTAAAACATAAACACAAAAAAGTTGATGCATTGCACCAGATTTAGCCTAGGGCTAATTTACTGTATTTATTCATGTATAATACTAGAAATTTAACCCTAAAAATCATCCATAAAAGTGGGGGGATAGTATTATACACAGGTTATTGATAATTAGGTTTTTATGCTTTGTAAGCTCAAAAAATGATGATGTTATCATACAAGAATAAATACGATACATCTGAAGTCCTCCTAAAACAGCTTAAAACAAGTTAAATTTAAGACTTTTTAAGACCTATTTAATGCCACTTGAAACTTATTTTAAGATCAACGTCACAAAAAAACAATACAAAAAAATAAATTAAAAAATCAAAAGATCAGGAGAAAAAGAAAAAAAAAAAGCTTAGCGGCAATTTTACCCAAATGTTTGCTTTACCAAAACAAAATTTTGTTAACTTTAACAAAATAAATGTATGATTTTTAAAAACTAAATAAATGTTACCCATTATTTTAAAATTTGAGATGAATTACAATAACCCTATTTAGCTACAATTTGTTTTTAAGACCTCTGAAAGATTGATTTAAGACATTTTAAGGCTAATTAAGGTCTTATTTTTGGATTGATGAATTCAATGCCTTTTAATGCTTTTTAAGGATCTGCAGGAACCCTGTATCAAAACTCTCCAGTAGTAATTCTGATGACTATCTATGCTCATTTAACAATCTGTACTTGATTTAAATCCACTGAAATATTTATATTTGTACTCACTTTCCCACTCTTCCCAGCATGGTTGCATTTGGGACACTCCCAGCAGTTAGGGAGTTCGTCGTTCACCACTCCTGAGGCGTCGCTGACCTGATGGGACAGCAGGTCATCAACCAAAACAAGTTTTAACCAAGCGCAGTGTGTTTTAAACACAAACAAAAGGAAGTGAAAGCAACTGCTGTGATGTGTGCTCATCAGGCTGGTCAGCACAGTTCAGCCGGAGCCTTGGTTAACTCTTCCTCTATGAATTCTAAAACGAGGAAGTGAAGCTTGTTAAAAATATCTTGCCTGCTCGGTTTTATAATGCACATTTGAATGAATGCAAAACTTGATGGAATTCAGCAGGAGTTATTGAAGAAGGTGACAAGTTTAAGCTCTAACAGACCTCCACGGTTTTGACCTGACAATCAGCTAGTTTCATGAGAAAACACAAAGAGGAAGAGAACAGGAAGTTCTCTTCAGACTCAGAACAACTTTTTTTCTTTAACTACTGATTGGAGGTAAATACAGAGGAATTTGTACTACTGAAAAAAAAAACTATTAAAATTTTCTTATTATTATAGTCACTGATCTACAACTGTTTCCTGCTAAATAATTTGGGCAGGCTTCAAAAACTGGTTTGATCACAAGTCTACAAGCAGCATCATGTTTTTCTTATGAAAGTCACAATCAGGAATCTGTAACTTTCACTTTTCATGTTGAAATGTTTCCAACACTGATCAAAGTCAACTTTCAGACAATTACAGGTGTTTATTCCCACACTTTTTTAGCTCCGAGAGTCAAATCCTACAACAGGATGTGATCATTAAGCTTACTCATTGTGTTTTACAAACAATACAACCTCTAACATGGAATAAACAACACAGATTCCAGCTTAACGGTCTGAGTCACGCCTTTAAATGTTCCAGAAACCTGGCATTGCCCTCGACACAATGAGTCACCATGAGAAGAGCCTGACTGAGGTGAGGTTCTTCAGCTGATCTCTGTACCTTGAGGCAGTTGGGGTGAACGATCTCGTTGCAGATGGAGCACTCCATGAGCATGAAGTTGAACTTGTCTTCGTCGCTCTCCAGCGTGTCCTCCTTCCCCGCCTCCTTACACACCACACACACCGCTGTGTGGGGCAGAACGGGCTGCGAGGAGCAAGACAAACAAGAAGAGTGAGATTTAAGGTTGTTGATTTACTGACATGTGTGGGAGGAAAACAGAGACGGTCAGGTTAATGACACGTTTGACTCATCAGATGAAATAGTTTGTTTAAAAAGCAAATCATCTGTAAAACAGACAACTTATTGTGTCACCAGCTAATGAATATTCAACAGTGGTACACTCCTGTCACTGCTGACTCACCGCGATGCACTGTCTCATTATGCAGGACTGCTTCATGCGCCCCGGTCCTCCAAACTTCTTCATGTCTTTACAGAAGTGACACTCTCCACACTCGGTCCGGAGGCACGCCTCGCACTTCCTGCAGCGCGTCCTCCTGCGCCTGGCGCCGGACGAGCTGCGATTGGACGGCAGCTTAACGCCCGATGTCGTCCCCATCTTGGGCTTTGGCCGGTTGACTGCTGCTCGCTGCTGGAAGACACACGGTTACAGGTGTTAGCTGAAGGAAATTAAACGCTTAGCGTTCCTTGAAGGAAGGCCATGCACCTGCCATCTTTCAGGACAGAGGTTGAGAAATGACAGCTCCCACAAAAACACAAAGATGTGAGGATTAAAGGTGTTTTTAATCAACAAACCTTCAGCTCTTTTTTTTCATGAATCGTTCTTGTTTTCCAACCCATTTTGCAAAGAAGCATTTATTGACAGCATTAATGTTCACACACAACAAATAAACAATTGCACTTAAAATAGTAACACTAAAAAAGGTTGTTTGTTGATTTGTTATTGGAAAAAGGTTGTAGATAATTAAATTTTAACCTGTATTTTTTTTTCAATTGACTTTTATTAGTTCAATTGTTCAAAAACTGTGGTGGTGTAAAATAGTAAAAAAAAAAACATTTTGTCTGGTTGGAGATTATTTGTGTGTGCACGGTGATGTGGACATTTTCTTATAACTAGTGGTGTCACGATAAAACTTTTCACTTCCGATATGATACAGATATTGCTGCCTTGAGTACTGGCTGATACCAATATCAGAATGAATTAGGGTTGGGCATAATCGTATCGTGCGCAACTAATCGTCAGAAAAACAATAAATAATTATTTTTTGGCACTTGACGATTAATACGATTAATGCCATCCAGGGGAGATTTCTCCAGTCAGTCCACTTGGTGCTCCTCTTCGCTTCAAATATGACAAATATTTAAAAAAAAGTTCTGTAATTTATTTATCTATTAACACAATTTAAAATTTGATGTATAGCCTGAAATCTGTAATTTTGACACAATTTGGAACAGATTTTTACGAAGAGCAAATCTTTCCCACTAAATTGGTCAAGTGACTAGGACATAAGGGTGTCTGGGGCATTAATCATTAAATTAATCGTTATAGGCTATATATCACAATTAATCATGATTAATTTTTTTTGCCAATATTGCCCAACCCTAGAATGAATCCTATATACTTTTATTACCTTTTTTGTATTGTGGTATCTTGATCAGGCAGGTCAAAGTGTGAACAATAGTCAACAACAATAGGTATGAGAAAGACTGGTCCCATTTATTATAATCCAATGGGTTACCTTGTTTTCTAACTTAAACATAAGAATGTTGTACAATTAAATACAATATAAAATATGTGACTTTGAAAAATTATCTCAATAAATCCAATAAAAACAAAACGTACCTTTAAAATAAGCATCAAGGTCACTTTAGTTATTTATGATGGATCCAAGCACTGCTGGATAGAAATCCTGAGCGGACTACTGGAATTGACTGCTTATAATGAAGAGCTAATATCGGAGGTTTTAGATGCAGGCCGATATATTCCGATATTCATTTCATGGCTAATATCGGACTGCTATCCTATATATTGATATCGGATCGGGACACCACTACTTATAATCCAAATGGCAGAAAAAGTTTGGGAACCACTGTATGTTTTATATGACCTTTTGCAGTTAGAGTGAGTGTTGTGAATGACCGTCAGCGACTACTACACCAGGTTTTAGCTTAACTTCTGTAAAACTGTTGGAGTTACACTGATAATAAGCTTGTAACATTTGTTGTAACTGGAAACAACAAATGAGCAAGAATTTTAAAGTCAGATATTACAAGCTCATTAATCAGAGCTATCAATGTTACTAATATCACTGCACTAACATGTAATTAAATTTGTAACATGAGATAATACAAGACATTTTAAAAAGATTACTCTCTATTAGTGATTATTCTCTCTTTTTAAAAGGTCATTAAAATGTGTTTCTTCTGTTTTTTAATAAAATCCAAATGATCCATGTGATTAAAATATTGTAAAATGGTTTCAGACTTAAATTGTCAGGACTTTAAACTTGTGTCCTAATAATAAAAAAAAATGTTGGAATCATATTTTATTCTAAAACTTAGAAAATAACAATAATAACACAATCATCATTCAATTAATTAGGTTCTTACTCAGCTCTTTGAATGGGAACAAAAATATAATGCACAGCTAAAATCTATTGATACTATATGGTGCTATTTTTATTAAATATTTTCTAAAACAATAATAATAATAATAATAATAATAATAATAATAATAATAATAATAATACTCAAAAATGTCTAATCTTTCACATCCAGTGACATTCAGTGTCTTTTATTAGCAAACAACTGCAAATCCGAGAAAAAAGAAGCTCATTTACGCATTGTATGCATATAGAAAAGTGTCAAGATTTTATAGAAATGCTGACTACAATTATTTTTTAAGTTTTAGTCAAAATATTACCTCATCACTACACCTCTGATATACATTACTCTGTTATAACAAACAAACCACACGTTTATATAAACAACAATAACAACAACAACAATAATAATAACAATAATAATAATAATCTGTTCATCAATTAAGAATAAAACATTTGTCAGTTTCTCAGGCGCATCTGTCTTTTCCCTGTTGCCATGGCATTACTATAAAATGCATGAAAATAAGACAAATCACAGACCATCACAGTCGTTCTTATCTTAGCAGGAGAGGTTACCTTGGCAACACTTTGCCTCGCTGGTGGCAAACGTTTCAATAAAAAAGGGGGGGTGGGGGGCTCTGCCAAAGATGGATAAAAATACCCTCACAGTGGGGTAGAGATGATTTTCTTTTATGCGTAGAACATCATTTATTATCTAATTATTCTTTCTGTTTTACTGTTAAAACAAAAACTCTGACCATCACACTATTTTTATGCTTTACTAGAAGGACAAGAACAAATTGAAGGGGATGCGTTTCCTGGAGGAAAATGCACAGCGTTGCAGATCAGGTGTAGCAGCTAAAACACAATAGATGAGAACAGGACGTTCCAGACCGACTGCAATCATGAGTGAAGTTCTCCGCAGAACGAGAGGTGAAACCTGTCCTGAACCTGATGACGGCAACTAAAATACCTCCGGCTCAATTAATAACATTAACATGACATGCCTTTAAAACAGTCTTCAGCCATTTATTACAACTATTTTCCTACACGTAGCCATGATAAAGACGACTCCTCATTAATTCCCATTTAAGCCAACTGCTCTCAAGAAGTAATTTATGTGTTTTTCAGCATCCAAACACTGTTAAACTGCAGGATGAAAGAATGAGCAGCTGCTGCAGGGGTGGCTGGGACTGTCAGCATCACGCAAACAGTTGTAGTTGAGATGCGTCTCATCAGACCTACACAAACACAAGTGTTGTTCTGACACATGTAAAGTCAAAACGTGTCCAATGTCAAGTTACGGCAACACTTTAAACAGCATATGAATGAGGTCCTGAGTGCACATCTCACAAAAAGGGAAGAATGAATTCAACTGCCACTTTCATTTGATGCCACTTTTAGGCTCATAGTAACGGAGTCTTAAATTCACACAACAAAAGCTATATTTTCACATTACTGGACTGTTTCTTAAACTCAACTCAAATCTGAAATGTGCCACGCATCTTGTGTTGGTACTGAAACAACATCTACATAAAAACAAAAACAAGCAATGAGGTGATGTTGCTGCAGTTTAAATCCCAACGATTACAGAAAAGAAGCTGAGGTCAGCTCCACAAAACGACCATCCAGTGAACTCAACGGCTGCGAAAGGCTCGTCTCTTCCTATTCTGGTCAAAAACAACAAAAAAATGGACTTAAACATTTGGGCCACAGACACGTCAGAGCAGCTGCCTTAGGCTTGTGCTGCATCAGGTGGCTTGTTCTTACAGTAACACTGTGCAGTCGTTTCTCAGGAATCTGGGATGGGTTGAAGAAGACTGTGAACAATAACAGCTTGACTTTGCTGAGCGTAGATCTCTGACTCAGCTTCAGCGTGGACTTCAGTGGGAGAAGGTCACAAGGCTCATCATCTGTTGCTTGTAAACTACAGCCCTCTTAACAACATGCACCTCCAAACGCGTGTCTAAACGGAAGGCTGTGATGGTGTACTGATAGTAGGCTGTGTTGTGAGTGTAAATATTGTGTAATCATACTGATCTGGCTGTTGCATCAGCACTAATTCCTAATAACTGTACAGGGCCCCCCAAAAAAGGTACTTCTGACAGCATTTCCTCTGCCATTTAAGACGAAAAACTTTGTTCAATTGATATGAATTTAACTAAGTAAGTAAAGCTAGATTTACATGCTCTGGCACAAAACAAACAGAGACCACAGACAGTGTTTTGAAGGGAGGAGGATCATAGTGAGCCCCAGTTTTTGACCCACTGACTGGTCCACCAAGCTCCAGAAGTAGAGCCACTTCATTGTTCCCTCTATCCCCATCCCCCTCCCGGTCCCTGCCTCAACAACATTCTGCCTAAAGCCGTCTTAAAGGCGCAGAGTGGTGGGACAAGTTTCAGAACTGTGAGGAACTAAGAAGAAGGGGAAAAAAAACACATTTTCAACATGGCAGGTTGAGAGTATGAGGAAATCAGAGCTCCAGTCAGCAAAAGGCTGACTGGTCTTGTAGCATGATCTGGGTGACAAGAGGGTTCAGATCAAAACTAATTATCTGAATTATGACTGGACGTGCCTTAAAGATGGGCAGGACGAAGTGGGTCAGTTGTGGTCAACATCATTTTAAAGAGGGAAGTCCGCGGTTTGTTAGGACCTTTAGGGAATTAAATCTTATAAACACCTATGTGTGTACGGACCTATTTGCTAGACGCTCATTATTATCAAAGAAGACACCTTTCTCTTTTGGACCTAACCGAAAGGGGAGCGGGTTAATCCAGAAGCAACCAAATGGAGAAAAAAACGTATATAAATGGCTTTTTTACCACTAAAAGTACACTGACCAAATTCATGCTGAAACATAGAGGCAATATTAGAGTGTAAATGTTTGTACCTGTTCAGACTCTGACTCATATTCTTCATCGTCTCCGCTCAGTGACAAAGCCATGACGCTCCACTCTCATCGTTTGTGAACAGAAGAAACCAACATGGCTGAACAACCCTCCAGCTAGGCTCCCGTTATCGCCCCGCCTTCACCGTGCTGCATTCGCGGACCTCGGAAAACAAAAATTTCCTGCTCACCCAACCATAGATACAGTATGAAGGCTATCTGTGCACCCAACACTACATACAGCGGATATGCAGCATTAATAATTGCAAATGTTTTTAAAATTTCAACACATTACCGTGAGAAGTGTATAAATGATATTAATAATCCAACTATTAGTCAAGCATCACAAATTTCCCGACATCGATATTATTATCAACGATTTTTAATGTTTGTCATGAATGCAGCACGAATTTCAACGGAAACAAAGAGCTGTGAGAACAAGAGAATTCCCCTCACGCATGTCCGAGTTTGCTTCACTTGCTCGTTGTAGTCGTAGAAATTGCAGAAATTGTTTTTAATTACATAACATTTCAGCCTTTGTGAGTTTTGGAGGATTTTATTTGTTTTAAACTATATTTCAACTATATTTAATGTCTGTCTTGTTTTTATTGATTTCGTTATTTTTCTAATTAAAGGACGATATTTATTTTGCTGCTGATAGAGCAGATGACAGCCAAAAAAAATTACAAAGTTTTTTTTGACATTTTATACAATATTTGTAACTATGTCAAATGTGCAAACCTAGTTACATTTTAATATTTTTACACAGTCAATTACAGGTAATTGATTCCAGAGAAAGCCCAACAAAGAAGTGACAAATCCTTACTCAGGATGTATTATATAATTGTAATGATGACAACACGTAATTGTGCAAAGCATGCTTGTAGAGTTTGACAGTAAATCACTGTAGCACCATCCAGTGTTTCAGCATGAAACACACAGACTAGTCAGCATTTTAAACACACATTCCTGTTATAAGATATTGACAATTTTCCTGCTTGCAAGATTAGTAACGTTAGTGTGGTAGTAGAAGTAATATTAATGCCAGTAGTGGTCCTATTTTAACAGAAAAAACGACAGAAAATTAATTTTTACTTGTTTTTTCTTAAAAAATAATTCAGAAACATAATTTAGGCTGCATGTAATCTCAAATCTTATATGTTCAATGATGATATAAAAGCCAATAACTCTAATATACAGTCATTGTTTTGACTTATATTTCTCCTAATCAGATTAAAATATAAAAATAAGCCAGTCAAATGTCTAAAGTGAGCTACTATTCAAGAGTGATGTGAAGTGGGTGTTCGCAGCAGAAAGAGGAAGAGGAGGAAGCTGACAGTTACTGGGGGAGCGGTGGATTGTGGGTAATGTGTGTTTTCCTCCCAGGTTTTGACAGTCAGCTGTTGCAGGAAAGAAAGAGTTTCACAACTCATCTAAGGGACTTTTATTCCTTGCTTTCCACTGGAACTACGCTTTCCGCCTCAGTATTAGTTGTGTCTTCGACCACTGCTTCTGCGAACAGAGTTAGTTTATTTATTTTATTTAAAAAAACTTTTTTTTTAAGGCACAACTTTGAGCATGAGTTTAAACGAGCACTCCATGCAGGCGCTGTCCTGGAGAAAGTTGTACTTGAGCCGAGCAAAACTAAAAGCCACCAGCCGAACCTCAGCTCTCCTGTCGGGCTTCGCAATGGTGAGTTTGCTCGAACTTTTCCCGCCGAACTCTGCTGCAACTAACCAGCTAACTAACCAGCTAACTAACCAGCTAACTAACCAGCTAACTAACCATACGACGCAACTCAATCCGCCGTGGACATGAGCGACGCTCTGGCTGGAAATGTGACGCAGATGATTGTTTTCAGTGGCTGCGACCTGCTCGCCTTTATAAAGGCCTATTTGACGACCACTGTGCACACATTTGCATTTGTTTAGATTCCAGCTGACGCCAAACATGTTAACAACATGTTAACAACATGTTAACAACATGTTAACAGCATGTTAACAACATGTTAACAACATGTTAACAACATGTTAACAACATGCACCCAAGTAGAAAGTTAAAAGTTACATCAACATGTAGGCTTTGCCACATATATTTATCAGCCTTTACACTATTTTACTGTTTTAACAAGTAACAACACAGAAATGTGTGTTCATTATATTTGAATAACACAAAACTGGAAAAAAATACTCAGTTTATCTCAATATTCTGTTTGACCACATTGTCACAGTTGGGCTATATTTTATTGTTTACTCTTCTGTTGTTGATTAACTTATTTATTTCTGCACCATGTGCAGCGGGTAAAATAAGTTTTGAACACGTCACCATTTTTCTCAGTAAATATATTACTAGAGGTGCTAATGACATGAAATT